TAGTCATAAAAAAAATAAAAAAACGGCTCTCACTAACTGAGACTTGAGCCCTCCGTTCATGGTATAGAGCCGTTATAAAAGAATCGGATTGTTCCTGAAAGCCACTCAGCATGGCCGAGTGATATTAATGCAACATGAACGTTAGCTGGCTTGGTTTATCTTTTAAAACGTGTTTAGAAATTTAAAACCAATTTAGAAATCAATAGTTATAGTTTTTATCTTTTACTTTTTCATGTAGTTTACATCCATTTATTATAAATCTTCTTTCCCACTCTCTTTTTCCACTATGCAAAAGAAAATAAATGTTTGACTAAACAAGCTAAATTTACTTCCTAATGTATAGATATTGAAAAAAGTTCTCGAGATGATCAGATATGGTTCATGTGTCAAACTCAAGGCCAGAGGGCCAAATCTGGCCCGCCATAGCTTTTATGTGGCCCTCTAGACTCCAAATTATAGAAATAGGCCTCTCCAGGTTTTCACAAATAACCACAAAATTCACACAAAACTCAACAGATCCCTGCATTTTGCTGAGTTTATCAACATTTTTGGCCAAAAACATTTACTTTCAAGTGACTTGAGCGATAGAGCAATTAATGAAAGGTTACATTTAACATCATATATTAGCGCAAATATCATAAAAATTCCTTACAAATATTTATAAATTAGCACCACAAAATCTGTGGTGTTGATTGCAGAAAACCACAAAAACCATCCTGGATGGACTGATTGGTGTGAAAAGATGTGCAATATTATGTTATTTTAAGAAACACTTATTGAATGCTGAAACACCTATTTATTGATATTTTAACAATTTAATTGCTTTTTATCAATACGATCTGGCCCTTTAAGAACATTCAGATTTTTGATCTGGACCAAAATGGAAATCAGTTTGATGCCCCTGAAATACAGGATAAAAACAAGTGAATCCTGGACCATTTTGAATGTAAACAAGAAGTGAGATATTTGCTGGTGGAATGATGTCACAGCAAAGGAAGACTCTGTGATGTCACAGGCGATGAGGTCTGTGATGTCATCAACTGCAGAATTGTATGAAACACAAATCTGCATATCTTTCATTGCTTGCAATATCACTGACCCGTTCAGACATTCGCAAAGCTCTTTTCAGGTAGTTTACCGATCAACGATTTAGTGTATTTAGGAGAAGATGTCTCATCATACGCCGATATACCAGAGTGGAGTGATGGGGCCCCATCACTCCACGAGAAGGGGAGTCCAGCAAAACCCCCAAGGCAGGTTCCCTCCTGCGGACCCGAATGCCTTTCACAGGGAAATCCAACGACTGCGATCCCTCCTGGAAATGGAAAGAGCCAGAAGTTTTGAAGGCAACCAGAAACTGGCCCACCTGGAGGCAGAACTGGAAGAGACCAAACTCCAGTTAAAAAGGCAGAAAGCTCTCAAAGAAACTTTTATTAACAAGAACAAAGAGGTCAAGAGGGAACTTGAGAGAGTAGAGAAGTTCAGTGATCCAGCGGTCCTTAACGCTGCAGTCATTGCTTCCAAGGTTCACAACGATGTGAAATGCAAGAAGAAGAAGGACTTGCAGCAAGATTTTGAGGAATTGAAGGTGGCCCACCTCCTCAGCCAGGAATCCTTTGTAGCTGAAATACAGGCTGAGAGAGAAAAAAGCAAGACCCTCCAAGAAGAACTGGACGCAGTGCAGACTTCCTACAAGGAGCTGCGCTCCAGGTACGAAGCCGACGTTTCTAAGGTGAAGCAGGAGGCCGAGACACAAAAACTTTGTGAAGCGAAGCTTATTGAGGAACGACGGCTTCTGGAGGATCTGAGAGCCGAGAAGGACCATATGTTTCAGGACATGTCAGAGAAGATCGCTCTACTGCAAGACAACGAGAAACTGTTGAAGGAAGAAATGAACCAGGTCAAACTTTCGTACAACAATCTCATCTGCCAGTACGAAAGCCAAGTTTCTGGATTGGAAAGAGACATGAAAACATATCGACAGCAGGTGAAGGACGAGAAAGAGGCCAACTCAAAAAGAGCGAATGAGAACCTGCAGCTCATCGACACACTGAGAGCTGAGAAGGAGGAGATGTTCCAAAAAATGTCTAGAGAAATCACAATAATGCAAAAGATGGAGAAGCTGCTGCTAGATGACCTTGATCGAGTTCACCTGTCAAAAGATGAGCTAAAAAGTAAGTATAATACAGACGTTATGGAATTACAGCAGCAGCTCGACACATACAAGCAGAAGACAAAGAAGGAGGAAACGGCTCTTGTAAAGAGAGAACAGAACGAGAAGCTGATCCATGAGCTACAGCGTAGATTTTCTGCTGCACTCCACCAGAAAGTAGAAAACCTGGAGCTCCAGCTAATTCAGGAGAGAGAAGCTCATGTGAAGAAATCGGAGGAGGACGTGGCTGAGCTGGAGAAAGTCAAAGCTTTGTACCAACAGCTAACCTGCCGGTATGAATCCGATGTAACCTCTGTGGAACAACAAGTAAAAAAATATCAGGAGATGAGTTTTGTGAACGAGTTGGAAAGAGCAAAACAAGATCTACTGGTGCAAGACTCTCTGAGAGGTGAGAAGGAAGATCTCCAAGGGCAGGAGGAAGAAAACACGCAGAGCCCAGTCAGCCTGGTCAAAGCTGTAAGCCAAGAGGTTTCCTCAGAGGAGGATCTATCAGGAGAAACCTTATCAGTCTCTTCCTCAGATCCGGAATCTGCGGAAGAGACTGAAATCGCTGCAGAAACCATCCTGGAGGATTTGGTCGATCCAGGCACTGGAACCATCCAGGAGGGTAAAAGGAAGAAATCCAAAATTTCTATTTGGAAAAAAATTCGAAACACATTGGGATTGAAGAAAAATAAAAGTAAACAAAGGAGTGAAGATCAGGCCTGAGAATGAGGAGAAAGACGTGCGAGAGCGGAACCGTGGACAGGAACCAAACCCATGGAGGTGGCAGCCTCTGAACGGTGAAACGCTCCGTCAAGATCAAATTTAAAAAGACAAAGTTTCCCCCCTTTGACAAACTAGAAAAAAGATCCCTTCCCAACCCAATTGTAAAAAACGTGGGCAGCGCGGTGGTGCAGCGGTTAGCGCTGCGCCTTCACAGATATGATCTGTGTGGAGTTTGCATGTTCTCCCTGTGTTTGCGTGGGTTTTCTCCGGGTGCTCCGGTTCCCCCCACATCTCCCAAAACATGTCGGTCAGGTCAGTTGGTCGCTGTAAATTGCCCCCAAGACAGTTTAAGAAACTCCAGACATGTGCAGTGTTATTGTTAAGCTAACCGGGCGTTAGCCCTTTTCCCTTCGCTGTTCTAGCAGCAGACGGCTCGATGTTTGTAGCAACACATTGATTCAAGAATTAAATTTCTTCCTTTAATAGTAATGATTTCTGTTTATTTTCACTGTACTTGTGCTTTTATGGTTTGTCCTTTAGTTTTGCCTTTTCTACTCACTTTTTGTATTGAATTGCACTGAATTGTAGCTCGCTATGCTGTTTAAGTCCCAATTTTAAAACAGATTAGCAAAAGGATTTTTCAGGGTGGCTGTGGCTCTGTGGGTAGATGGTCTTCTTGTGACCAGAAGGTTGTGAGTTCAATTCCAGCTTCCTCAGCCACATGTTGAGTTGCCCTGGGGCAGGGCACCCAGCGGCACGCTGCCCCCTGACCTGCATGTCGGTGTGTAAATGCGACTGTAGTGTGAAGCGCTTTGAGTGATCAACATGACTAGCAAGGCCCTTCATAAGTTCAGTCCATTTACCTTTGATAAATCCTGTTTTTATACCAAACATAAAGCTGATTTAACACGTTTGGACCTTTTCAGTTCGGACCCTGAAGAAGCCCAAACTTGTTATATCTGGTTTGTTTGTTATAAGAAACAAACAGGTTTTATCAAAGATAAAAGTTACTGTGTGATCTTTATGTTATGATTTAGAATAACGGATTCAAGATAGTATAACAAACTTAACAAAAAAGTGCAATTTAACATGAAAAACTGTAGAAAAGGGAAAAAAGAAGAACAATCCATGAAAGTATGAAAACAGAGAATTTAATCAGAAATCATTTCTATTTCAGGAAGAAATCGATTCTTAGATGAAGACTTTGTAATAAATATAAAGGTTTTGTGTTGTTGAGCTTATGAGTCGTCTGCTGCTACAAAAGAGAAGGAAAAGGGGCTGGAAATGCCCAATTCGCTTACATTTTAACCAGCTTTACAATAAAACTGCAAATTATGTTCTGTTTAGGATGTTGGTTGTAGGTTTTGTTTGTCAACCTGGATTTAATGCAGGAATCTGCTGCATGTCATTCCTTCTCTCTCCTCCCAATTCCTGTTCAACCCTCTCATTTTCTCTCTTTCTTACATAATTAATAGGTTACTTAACACACGCACGCACACACACACACACACACACACACACACACACACACGTCCCCTCCATGGGCTGCCACCTTATCGTGGTGGGGGGGTTTGAGTGTCCCAGTGATCCTAGGAGTTGTGCTGTTGGGGCTTCATGCCCCCCAAAGCAGACGGTCCCAGGTGAGGAACCAGACCAAGTGCAGCCCAAACATCCCTCATCATGAATACGACCGTTGGAAACGGATTCACTCAAAGAAATAACTGTTTGGATTAACATAAAAAAATCATGGAAATATTTTCCTCCTGATTACTTTGCTTTATTTCAGCACTATGTAATTCTGTTATCAAATCAAATGTGTTGGATCAACTTAACTTCTGAAGCTGATTCAACTCATTTACTTTAGTTGGACCCAATATAATTTAATAGAGCCAGCCCAACTCATTTGCAATGTTTTGGACCAAATAATTGACTTTACTTGATTAAGATGAATGCAAATTTAGTTGAAACCAACTTATTTTACAGTGATACCTTCACACTACTTAATTAAGTTGATCCAACTCATGAAAATTAAGGTTAGCTCAACAAACATGCTTCATGCTGAAAGAAAGTTATTTAATCATGTGGAAAATCTTTCCATGATTGAATTATGTTAATTCAAAGACATTTTCTTAAGTACTATTAAATTAAGTGTTTTAAGATTGCGCTATTTCCAGAAACATTGTATTAATATTATCAATATGATCGAATTTACAACAATGTTTGCCATCTTCTTTGGCAATTCATTTACTAAATTAGGACCAATTTTTACAAAGTACCTATTAAAGACTTCAGCAATATCCTCTGTTGTGCTATAGTGTTATGCTTAATACATATTGGAAAATCTCTATCTTTCTTGTTTTTATAATACTATTAATTGTATTCCAAGTACCCTTAATATCATTACAATATTTGTGCAGTAGCTCATCATAATAATAATGTTTTTGCTTCCTCGGCACTGTTGTTAACTTATTTTTATATCTTTTATATTTTTCTTCTTTTTCCTGAGTTGGGCACTTAATGAAATCCTTATAACTTGTTTTTCTTTTTACATGCCTTCTCCAAACTCTTTGTCATCCAGGGAGTCAATCTATTTTTAGATGTTTGTTTAGTGTTGTGCTCCTTTCTCTGTTCATGCCATTAAGTCATGATTCTTCTTACTCAGTCACCTGTCACCTTCATTCCATTTTGTGTTCCAACTAATAATTTACATATTGAAATGTTTTTCTCAACAATTCATGTCCAATGTTTCCATTTGATTCTTAATTATCTACTGACCCTGTAGATGTTTGAGGCTAATTGTGTCAACGCGACCAGTTTGGCAGCTAAGACGTTAGATTTTTAGTATGTGATCATAGGAACTAAAGCTGGTCCCCTGGTGATGCACTAACTGCTACCTAGATTAGACAGACAGACATATTGCATAAATAATATGTTTTTTATTATTATTCAGTTCCAGGGACTGGACTTTTTATATATGTGCTGCTTATTTTTATGTCACTTTGGCTTTGCTCTACCGCCATCTAGTGGCTAAAGAGCAGATCTTCACATATTTTACATTGAGTTTTAATATGGAAAACTATGTAATATAATTATTATATCAGCTATTAAAGATTTTAGGGATAAATATCAGGTGTAATTACAGATGAAGCTAAAATACAGCAGACTTTATGAACTAACACGCTAAATTCAATGTGAAGCAGAAAAATAATTCAACATGAAACCAAAAATCATTTCTCACACTCTATGGTAAATGTTACCATTTATTGTGTCTGAAATGTTAGCAGGCTCATTAAAAAGGTATTTTAGAAAAGGCTAAAAAAAGAAAAGTTGGTTAATTGGACAAAACTTCGAAGTGTTTGTATCTGTGCAGGACAGAAGGTCAGTGACAAACTCCAGCCCATGACGACCAACCACCCTGCCCTCTTCAGGAAGCCAAGCTTACACAGTACAGCTCTTTCTCTAATGGGCTGACTTAGCTCTTCTGTCAACAGGAAGCACTTCCAGAAATCATTGAGGAAATTTTCAATCTCTTTAGATGCTAGCTCACCTTAACAAATATCTAGAATCACCAGCCTTTGCAGTTCCATTTCCAAAATTATAAAACCTACCTCCTCTGCATACTTTACCTCCGATTACAAATGTACTTTTTTAAAATGTCACATATTTTATACTCCCAACAGCATAAACAAATACCCTTTCCAAAACAGCATGCAATGGAGTTTTACATCTTCTCAGCCTTTGAGGAGCTAGCAGGAAGTTTGTTGCATTGTGCCAGAGTACGCTGGTCTGGAGCTTTAGCCACTTTTCAACACCCTTTAGCTTGGGGTTTGCCTGGGGCATTGATTATATTCCCGCAATATCTAAACTTTATATTACAATTCTTGCAGACAGGTTGTAAACTGTCCCATAACAACAGATTAAGATTCTTAACAGTGAAATATAACACAAAACAGGTCAACAGGCTTTTATCAACAGGAAAAAGCAAGAAAGGAAAATGACCAAATGGATTTAAATTCTTTATTAATTCCTTCTGAAATTGAGTACATATATACTACTGTGTTTATTTCAATGTATGTATTTTACAGTCAATGGTGTTAGCAACAATTAATGATTAAAGAAATTCCACAGAAGAAACAAAAAAAAAAAACTGAACATTACATTAATCCCACAAATGATCTAAAACACAACGGTGCTCCACAAATTAAAATTAAAATTACTTCTGCTTCTCACCTAATTACGAGAACCAACGAAAACCCAGAAAACACCTTTTACCAACATAAATCATAGGTCATATAATTTGAACAGATTTTAAAGTGTGGTTATTCTTCCTCTCAATTGACCAGAATCCTGGTCATCAGCAAACTGACAATCAGGATAACAATTGATGTCAGATGGCCTGAAGCACCGTTTCTTTGGATTAGTCCACCTGTGTAAAAGAGAAAAGTGAATAAATTTTGTCAAACAATCGCAATATGATCTTTGAATTTACAAATCAACAGAATGACATAATTTACCAGTGTTTGGTTGTGCCCCTAGAACTAGTGGTCCAATAGAAAGAGCTGCAGAGTCATGATAAGATGCATCCCTCCTGAATCGGGCGTGGTGACCCAGATAGCAGTGCTGTTAAAGAACAACAGCAACATTAGAGACTTCTGCGGGTTTACAACTTAATTGTACATGATAAAGCTGCACCACAAACACAATAAAACTTACAGCTGTGCAGTTGTTGTTTCTCAAAAGACACAAGTGGACATTGCAGTGCAAGTAAATCTCTGTGTGGTTGGTGAAGGTGAACATCCTGAAGGAGAAACGAGACACAGTGGAGACACCGTTCTGAATCACCTCTACGGTTCCATCTTCTGGATTAGGACACCTGTGAAGCAGAAGCAGATGCATCAGTTAGACTGTCAACAAGAAGACACTGAAATAAATTATAAAGAACAACAAGATGGTCTCATTTACAGTGAAGTAATGAGATCCCAGCGGACAGGGTAGTTTGCTTGGTTGACTGGTGTGGCCCAGCAGGAGTCCAGAACTGTGGCAAATTGACGCTGATCCACCCCTTCTGTTCGCACCTCCATGTAAAACATCTCATCAACTTCCAGTTCTATGTTTCCATTAGTGCTGAAGGGAGTGAGGAAACTTTCATCCTCATAGGGGATCATCCTCACACTATATGATCCAGTGCCAGCAGGAAGCTTCTTCTTCAAAATGCTGCAGAAGAAACATTTAATGTGACAACCCTGCTAAATACGTCTGATAGGCTGGCTAAGCTATGCTAATTTGTTTAGAGGATTCAGTTATAGATAATGAATAACTGATTAAGATATAGAAGTAGAACTGGACATGATGGCACAACTAGTTAAAGGAAGCAAACAGAGAAAATGGTATCATCACCTCTCCACAGGGTTGATGCCCACAGCCATTGACAGAGCTTGAGCAAGTGGATAAACACAACAGAAATCCAGATGAAGATTCCTCTCACGGTTGATCAAACCTCCATGAGGATCCACATTCCCCTGAATAGTGTTCTCATACATGAAGTGAGTTCCATTGCTCTAAACAGTGAAATGACAGAATGCTGTCAGTCAAGTTAAGTGACCTATTGGAAGCTTTAAAGAAGATGTTCCAGTTCATGAACTTTACCCTAAGAGCTGTCCCACACAGATGGTTGTCATTGTCAAAGTGGAAGACAAGTCGTCCATCCTGAAGAGTCCCGTTGCAGGAGCTGTCTCGGAGATGGAGAGCACTGGAGTGGAAGCCCGCTTCAAACAGCTGGCAGCGAGATACTGACATGGTACCAGAACTGCTAACACATTCGATGTTTGCGTCTGCTCACCAGAGGGAGAAAAACACTTTGAGATTTTGTGATAAACTACACAAACTGATGCAGAAAAGCAAAGATTATGCTTCAAACTTGAACACCAACAGTAAAGCACCAACAAACAAATTATGTTTGGAAAATGACTATCATTACAGTTCTTCTTATGAAAAACAGAAGGTTTAAATGGTGTTGCACTTACCGTAGCTCTCGTTGTTGGGTCGATGATGGTGCTCGTCACAGAAGCAGCCGTACACACCATTTTTCTTACCACACCACTCATGCTCTGCACAGTCCAGCTGTTCACAGGGGTCCGTCTCAGCTGAGTCAAATATATCAGAAAAGGCCAAGAAAGTTTAAAAACATAAACACTGTGTAAAATCACTCATTGTTGTGATAATTTATTGAGCCAAACAAACATACCACAATGCAAATGAGAGCGCCAGTCAGGAATGCTTAGACCCAAATTGGTGCAGGTTTTCTCATAAGCAGAGACGGCAGAACATAACATGCCATTGGCTGGTGTGTAGAGGCAGAGATCGTAAACACAGGAAGTGAAAAATGGTTGGGGGTCAGAATGCAGGTGACAAGAACTGAATGGGCCGCTGGTGTTGGTGATGACTCTGCAGAGTTCTGTGTATTCTTCTATGAAGCGGCAGTCACTTAGTCCGTCACCACTACTTTCATCAGTGGATCCGCATCTAGAAAAGTTTTTGGTTATAAACAATTTAGAAACAGATTTTTGTAGAAATGTTTGCAATTGTTGAGATTTTTAGAGTAACCGTAATCACCCTGCTTGGCTTGTCTCAGATTTCCAGCTGTGGCCAAACTGGTTGTCGTTTTTGGCCAAAGTACCGTTGGGCAAAACTTTGTCATCAGTGGGATCACCATTGAAGTTCCCACACATTCCACTGAGTCTGTTCCAGTAGTTGCTGCCCATCCTGACCAGTAAAGTACTGGAGCCATCAAACTGGACTACAACATCGACAGCATCAAACACTATGTAACTTCCCTGCCTCATCACCTGACCAAACGTTCCTGCAGTCGTGGGAAGAGAAACCTCTGTCCCATTTACCTGTTATGATGAGAGTTCAGAGAGTAAACCAACTTTGGGGAAAGAAAACAGATTTTTTATCCTGTATTTAAAATAAAGTTTACCTTGACTCTCTTGTAAGGTCCGAGCCTGACATGAACACTCTCTGGAGGATTTGAGAGGTATATATCAACTGATGACACGAAAGACACAAGGTTGTTTCCTCTGTGTTTGTTGGTGGCCACGACTTTGTACTGAGTTTCATTGCTGCTGTGTCTCAAACTTTCAGTGATGATGTAAGAGCATGATCCCTGAAAATGAGCCAAGGCTCCATCAAAGGTGACGTAATGTGGGTCACCCCATACTGTACAGGTAGACATGGCATCATAACAGCCCAGCTGGCCATCTCTGATGGTGCACTCTTGTGCAGGAGTGCATGATGAGGGACTGCAGATCAGGACATTGGGTGCTTGACATTCACACCGTTGGGAGCAACCGTCTGTCCAGAAGGACTCACCAGCCTGCAAGGTCAGAGAAAAGTTAAAATATCAGGCTTTCTGACAACATTAAGAAGAAATTAAGCTTGAGGTAAGATGGCACAATTTGTTGTACTACTTGCACCATAAAATCATTAGATAACATTGGTGCAGTCATTGCCTTGCAATGGATGGGTGACTTGTGCAGTGTGTACCCCACCTCTCACCTGTTGACCACTGGTGCCATGCACCAGCACCCCTGGTGACCCTACTAGGGACAGATGTGTGAATTTGATGGACGGACGGATGGACAGACTGACTGTAAAGTCATGTTCAATAAATTAGAATATGTGTGTCAATAAGGCTCATTTGTCAGATGCAAAGTACACTATAATGCCGAAAGTATTTGCCCACCCATCCAAATGATCAGGATGGGTGGGCATCCTGATAATTTGGATGCCCATGGAAGTGATTGGAGGTGCTCCAATCACTTCCATGGCCACAGGTATGTAAATTTAAGCACCTAGCCATGCATAATTTTACAAACACTTGTGAAAGAATGGGTCGGTCTCAGGAGCTCAGTGAAGTGCAGTGTAGAGCTTGTAGCCACCTGTGCAACAAATCCAGTCATGAAATTTCCTTGCTCCTAGCTATTCCACAGTCAACAGTCAGCTGTATTATGAAAAAAATGGAAGTGCTTAGGAACAACGGCAACTCAGCCACGAAGTGGAAGGCCACGTAAACTGACGGATTGGGGTCAGTGAATGCTGAAGCACATAGTGCAAAGAGGTCGATGACTTTCTGCAGAGTCAATCATTACAGACCTTCAGACTTCAGGTGCCCTTCAGATTAGGTCAAGAACAGATCACAGAGAGATTCATAGAATGGGTTTCCATGGAGCAGCTGTATCCAAACCATCCATCATCAAGTGCAATGCAAAGCGTCAGATGCAGTGGTGTAGAGAGCACACCGCCATTGGACTCCAGAGCAAAGGAGGTGTGTTCTCTGGTGTGACAAATCGTCCTTCTCCATCTGGCAATCTGATGGACGTGTCTGGGTTTGGTCGGTTGAGAATGGTACTTGTCAGACTGCACTGTGCAAAGTGCAAATTTGGTGGAGGGAGAATTATGGTGTGGGGTAG